TTTATGCTAAAGATGCAGAAATGTTTTTTCTATTCTGGTGAAAATCATTTTGGTATTAATTTTCATATGGGAATTCAGTTTATTCTGAAATATTTTCTTATATTTAATTTTTTAAAAAAATTTGTAACATATGAAAGGTTGGTTTAACTGGTGGCTCAGGTGGGCCATACCCTTGAGATGGATATGCACAACAGTTTTAAAAGAGATATATGGAGTGATACAAATATATTGCATGCCACTATTTTATAGATTTGGATGGAGCAGAATCCCCTGGAACATAACGTCTACACCGGGATGGAAAGAAACTAGATGTCATATGGACTTTCATTTTCTCTATGCCATATAAGGAGCTTATGCATATGGACGTGGATCTAATGTGCATATAGGTTTACAAATGTGGGCTTATAATATGGTAGAAGTTGCTCAAATGACAGATCAAGCATGGGCTGGGAAGTCAGACCTGAGTTCACATCCTGGTGCTCTCACTTACCAGATGAACATATTATTTAATTTCTTTGGGACTGTGTCTTCATCTGCAAAATGGGGGAAATAACTGCTTTCAGGTTGCTCTAAAAATTAGTTATAGAAGCAAAATATATGAAGTATAATAGGTGCTCCACAAATGTTGCTATTAATTTAGTTAGAAATCTATATAGACCCATCAGAGTATTTTCATTTCTTATTTAAATATTTTAAAGAGGAGCTTTCCAATATGCATTTATCCAAATTTGTTCTTCTATCTCCCACCCAGCAGACATCTCTGCAGGAATCCAGTAAGTTAAATGTAGCAGTCTGTCTTCATCCTTCAAAAGAAGTTTAAATATAAATCAAGAAGAATTCAAAGACCTTTGCATGAATTTGAGGCAGTTATGATTCTACATATTCTACAAAATTCCCTCCTGACAAAGTCCATAGAAATTAGAAATTAATATTTTAAGTTCCACTGCATTTCTATTTTTAATTCTTCTGACCTTCCCATTAAAAAAAAAACTTCATTATTTTTTGAACAGGATGTATAAGCCAATAATTCATTTATTTTCCAAGGACCCTAAAGGATAAACTTAAATATTATTTAGGACCAGCAAGAGAAAGCTATAACCCAAATCCAACTCTATGTTGTCTCTAGGCTAAGTGTTAGTGATATTTTATAAAACACCACCGAGTCCTACAAGCTGCCCCGGGTGGGGTGACCATCCTGGAACTCCCCTGAGATGGAAAAGAAAGCTGTTAGTAATTACTCTGCCACAGAAAGGACCTACAAGGATTGTCCCGAGCATCTGTGACGTGTGGCCCCCCCACCTCCACGTCTCAAACCTAATGGCTCAGCCATTATAAGCATTTACTTGAACTCCTGATGGAACCCTGTTCTCCTTGGAGAAAACTTTTATATACTTAATATTCACATTTGCTTACTTTAGAGTTTTTCTAATTATCTCACTCTTGGGAAGATTTCATTATTTGATACTAAGCTAGGACTAAATTTCGTTCCTTTCTCGGGAATGGTAATAAGGTGGCAGATAAGCCTTCATCTCTTCTATTTCACCTACCAGTCATTTTCACACGTTCATCTTGTAGCTTCCGGTAGATTTGGCATTTTGCAACACCTGTTTCTGCCAGAGGCCACTGCTCTTCTAAAATTTCTTTAGGATATGAACTGCTTTGCTTAGTCAAATAGCATTCCTCGTCCCATAATTGCCTTGGGTCTCCATTCATTATCAGAGAAGAATCTAAAGCTTTACGAGTAATACTACGGAGGACAAAGGGAAGACCCCCTTTTCTCTGCTTTAAAAGAAATCAGCTCCATCTAAAAGCAAAACTGTGTGTTTTGAGTTGCTTCCTTATTTATCCTGTTTGCCTCACAGATTATACACAATCAATTCCAGAGATCAGCCTTGAAACGTGGGATATACAGGTTCCTGAGCAGACACAGCTCTGCCTGCAAGCTCTCCCGTTATTAGGCTATAGTGCATGAAAATCAATTAAGCAGAAATCGGACGATTGTAAAGGATAACAATTAAGAGAAACGAGGTCATGACAGCGACTGGCAACACCAATCACTGGAAACACAGCCATCATACTGTAGCTTAATCTCCGACTCAGAGATACTTATGAGAAACTCCTAGTTCAGAAGCAACCAAAGGAAACAAAAAGGTTGGAGTTTTTTTTTTAATTGGGATTTTTACGCATTTTATTTTGACTTCAGGCGGTTTTTAAGTCTCTAAAAATACATTAAAGTCTGGCTGGAACTAATGGTAAAACGGCATCAACAATTTTTCTGCTTCTGGGTAAGATGTTAAAATTCAGTTAATGCTGAACTGAAAATTAAAAGAAAAATGGTATAAAGCATTGGTCTTTGAAATGAATCATCAAACTTATGAAAATTGTTATTATGAGCAACAGTATTGCTCTGCAGCTACCTACCTGTTTTCTACTCAAAGAGTAATTGTCACAGAAAAGGAAGGCAAAATAAACGTGCATGTTCACAAAGCTAATGGGCAGATTTTATAAATATGGGAAAGAGAAAATGCAGACATTCCTCCATAACTGCTATGTCTAGAGTAACTGAAAATTCTGCCAAAACGTATGTAATTCTTCATAGAGAACTCCATTTTTAGGATAAAGTAATGAGCTGGAGCTAATATTCAGAATACAAAAGGCTTTTAGTATTTTTTTCAAAGCCATTCATGTCCTAGTACTGGGTACGGTGAGGAGATGGCAAAGAGCAGTTTCTGAAGTGATGCAAGGGCCCTGAGGTCAGAGGCACTCCTCTACCTCTTCTCCGTTTGCATTGTACTTTATGTGTCAAAGTTAAGTTTGCCAGCAGGATGCCTGATCATCTAGCTAGTTTTACAATTCTAACAAGCTTTACAATTCTCACACATCCCGACTTGATTTTTAATAAAATGGAAACTTTAAATCAGCTTCCTGTGCTCGCAGCTATTAGAACACAGCAGCTTTCTTATGTGGAAGCTTCCTCTGTTCTTTGCCTCTCTTCTATTGTTTCCCACCCACACCATATCTTTTTACCACCTCCATATTCATTCATGGAACAATCTAGACAGATTTTACAGCCTACATACACTTAAAAAAAAAACAAAAACTACCTACAGGTTTTCTTCCACACGTGTCTCTTCCCGCACCCACACAGGCTACCCCCTTACTCACTCACCTCTTCCTCCAACGTCCCTACCCTGAGTGTGTGCTACCTCACTTCTTTCCACTCATAGCAGTGCTTTCTTATTTTTTAACCCTTTCTCCCTTGTCCCATTTAACAGCTTGCTTTTCTCCCTTTGTTTTTTTTTTTAATTTCCTCTTCTGTATCAATTTGTCACAATATTATTCTCTGTCTAAATATAATGTATTGTTCACCATGCCTTCAACAGATAGTTACTAAGTACTTACTCTGTGCTAGGATACTAGGTACTGGCCCTAAAAGGAGTCTTCTCCACGCTTGTCCCTTGTGTCCTCAAGGACTTCACAGTGTAATGAGAAAAATGGGGGCGGCGGCGGGGGGGGATTAGCTAGGAGTGCCAGAGGGCTAGGTCTGGCAAACTGGGCTATATTAAATTCAACTCTTCCCATTACAAACAGCTAGATCTACTGGATAAATGGTAACATTTAAAAATGCATATCTGGGCTTACAAGAAAGAAAAAATAGTCCCAAAAGATCAAAAGGTAAGAGGGAACTAAAAATAGAGGGAAGTCCATGAATTGACAAAATCGTGGTATGGATGGGGGCTAAGTGTCCAGTGGCTAAGAGCTTGGGTGTTAATACCCTCAAGAGGCAGAAAACAGGGTCCAGAGTATACATAAGGCAGGAAGCTAGAAAGTGACCCCATACATACAGCCATGTTATAATCTAGACAAATTCCAGAGTGTAATATGGGTGAAGAGATAGTCCAATAGATCAATTAAGCACAACAGAGACCGTAGGTACAAACCCAAATACAGACTGGGAATTGGTAAATGAGAAAAGTAGCATTAAATTCACTGAGCCCAGCACACAATAAATCGTGCTGGACCAACTGTCTAACCATATGAAGAAACTTAGATTTCCACTTTACACCAGAACATTTCTAAACTGTTTTCATAAGATATACTTGACATACAATAAATTGCACATATTAAATTGTACAGCTTGAGGCAGACACTTAATCGACTGAGCCACCCAGGTGCCCCAACCCCAAAGGTTTCCTAATGCCCCTTGGTAACTCCTTATTCTTATCCCTAACCTTACTCCCAGGCAGTCACTGATTTCCTTTTTGTTGTCCCAGATAAGCTTGCATTTTCTAGAATTTTGTATGCATGGAATCACAGAATATGTAATCTTTTTCATCTGGCTTCATTTTGCTCAGCATAATTATTTTGAGATTCATCCAAGATGCTGTATTTATCAATTTCTCATACTTTTTTTTTTAATTGCTAAACAGTATTCATCATATGGATATATCACAATTAGTTTATTCATTTACCTGTTGGTGGAAATTTGGGTTGTTAGCAGTTTGGGCGATTACAAATACAGTCACTATGTATAAGTCTATTTTACAGACATATGTTTTCATTTCCCCTGGTGAGATATCTGGAATGGAATGAATGGGATATATGGTAGGTGTCTGTTTAACTTTCTAAGAAACTGCCTAACTGTTTTTCCAAGTAGTTACACCATTTCTCATTTCCATCTTATTTAAATAAGAAATGAAAATACTCAGATGGTATTATGGTAGCACACCCCTCATTCTGTCACACTGAGGAAAATCTCCAAATGCACACTTTGAATTTGCTTAGTCTACTTTCCCACGGGGTAAACATTTTTCAGTCTGGCTTGTCTTGAATACTTGTCTTTAAAAATCAGACAAGAAAACTTTGAGGAAACAGAGAATATAGAACAAAGTACATAAAGACTTTTTTTGCTCAACTTAGACATAGAGTTTACTCATAAGAATTGCAGAAACTTTCTTGTTTATCACCTAGATTAAAACGCAGTTAGTAGATAAACTTACCCTGGTTTCGTGTCATTTACTACACAGTGATAGGTAAATGTTCCAAACATCTGAACTCCTAAAATTCCATAAAGCAGCAGAAAGAAAAGTAGGAAAATTGAAACGCTCCATATTTGTTCTCCCGATCGCCTAGAGGGGGAAAAAAGGTAGGCAAAACTTACAAAAATGTCATCGGCTTTTCTCCTTAACTTACATAAAAGCAGTACTTACTTTAAAATGTTTGTAATTCTGGTCCTTGGTAGCTCAAATCGGAAATAAATCCGGAATGCCCGAATCATAATTAGTGGCCGTGGGATCCGTAACATGCCCCAAGGTGACATCTGGTCAACTATATCAGCAATTTCAAATACCTGTGAGTTAAGAGGTAAGAAGAAACAAGCTCAGAGCCTCCCTTAGCTTTGCCTGTAGTTATGACAAACACAGATGGCATCAAGAGTTCACCCTGTACTCCGAACTTCGCCCTGCATTATTTTCCACTGAAATGGTCTATTTTGAAGCTATAGTTATCTTCAGAGAAATGAATACATAAACTAATATAAATCCAATGCTCTTACTCATTTCCCATATAATTCATCAAAGCCCAGTTTTTATTACAAAAACAAGTGCCAACTTAGAATACAGAATAAGTATGCTGAGCTTTCCTTACGAATAATGTCCTTTGGTGGCACTTTTTTAAATAGCTAGAACATAAAGTAATGGAGAAAGGGTTAAGATTATTATGAAAAAATAAAAAAGGAATTGTACCATTTACTAACAGAGGCAAAATGATAATTAGAAAACGTCTGTCAGTCATATAATAGCTATTAAATGGAAAAGAACGCATGAATATGCAGGATGAAATCAGATCGTTGGAGAGGTGAGCTTTGTAAAAATAAGGAGAGCTCATCAATTAGCATTAAGATGACTTTGCAGGATGGACTGTGAATTTATTCTAGTCTAAATTTTTTAATAAGACTATACTAACTTGAGTTGAATTAAATGCAAAACTGAAGCCTAAATGAATGCATGGAAATGAATTCTATTATCCAGTAAAATCCTACCTTTAGCCTTTTAAACATATGTTCCCCATTTCTCATAGTAAGGCATTTTCTATTTGCGATATGGTATTTTATGTTCATTCCAATGTATCTCTATTTGTCAGCTTTTTTTGGTGAGGACTCAGTCACACAAAAGACTGGAACTTTAATATTTAAACTCAATTTTTTTATTCTACAAATACAGAAATCTTACCCCATTTTCTGTCCTTCATTTCAATAAATATATTTTTGTATCTTTTTAATAAGAAATAATTTGCTATAGTGTTGATGATTGAGAAACAATTCACAGATGTGACTGACAATGATTAAAATGTTAGTTTTTTATCATAAACATTTAAAATAACATGATGTTGAAGAAAGTTACACCATCACATTCGACATATATTGATTATTATTTTTATTCAGCGTTTCAATGCAAAACAAAGCACATTTTGGAAAATACCCCCATGTAAATTAAAAGTTTTAATTACCTGTAACACCAATGAAACCCAAAGGCAGAAGACCATAAATCCATCAAAAACACACCAGCGATCTTTCACATAGGAACTATCCCCCTAAAAATAAATTTCACATGGAGTTATCATGCACAATTAATAATTTCAAGAAACATCTGTGGAGAGAAGGGTCATGTGTTAATTCAGCATAAGCTATCTATAGTTTTTGTATCAGAATTGAAGAAACTTTCAAAAGGAATACCTTTAGCATTTTATTTTATTTTTTATAAAGATTTTATTTATTTATTTGACAGAGAGAAACAGCGAGAGAAGGAACACAAGCAGGGGGAGCTGGAGAGGAAGAAGCAGGCTCCCTGCTGGGCCGGAAGCCCGAGGTGGGGCTCCAGTCCAGGACCCTGGGATCATGACCTAAGGCAGATGCTTAACGACTGAGCCACCCAGGCGCCTGGTGGAATACCTTTTAGCATTTTAAATGGCATTTTATATGAAGAAAATAATTTATGAAACACAAGTAACTGCAGAGCTATGCATGGAAAATTTTAAGTTCACACAAACAGAAAACATCACTATTTTCTCTCTTAGCCTCACAGATATTACCATTTAAGAAACCAGAGGTCATCCCACTCAGTAGGCAGCTTAAGTCCTAAACCAGCTTTCTTCCTACAAGAACCAAGAGCAATAGCGGTCAGCATGAAGGTCTTTAAACCTGTGGATCAACCACCATAAGTAGGGAATTAACCAGGAATTCACCTCGAGCTAAATTAAACATGAAGAAACAACTTGCCTTCATTAGCAAATATATCAAACATATATTGACTTTAACTTTAACTGGAATCACATGTGATAAAGAAGACACACTACTTTCATCTTTTAATAATGAATCTACTCTGACATTAGAATGCATATTTTTATCAAATGGGAATTTTAGAAAAAAAAATTCCCTTCAAATAACAAAACAGAAAACCTCCTTAGATTAGAATTGAACCTTAAATAGGAAGACCTTTGCTTTCTTAGGACTGCCCCATTAAGTCACTAGTTCCATCATAATCCATGAAACTCAACTCTGAATTCAGTGACATCTACCATTACCAGCTCTGACTGAACGTGCTTAGAAAATAAAAAAGGAACAGAAAGCCAAGATTTTGAATAAAAGGATGAAATCTGTTATAGGATATTTAGGAAAATAAAATAATTTCCAGAACCACCTACCCTTATTAATAAATAGGCTATCAAAAAAAACTCCTTGAGAAGTTTTCAGAAAAAATCTATATTATTCACAAAACTAACATTATGATAAACCACTTCATGAAAGTTATCTGACCCAGATGTGAAGTATAAATTCAACTTAGTTAATACTGAGGAATCATCTATTTTACATTAGAGGATGTATAATGTCTCCTGAAACACACACACACACACACACACACACACACACACACAAACAAAGCAATCTTGCATAGAATATAGGAAGATTAATTCTATGGAGAGTTTAGGGAAAACAATGCTAGTTCCCAAATGCCTAAATAATTTTATCATTGGTAAGAGAATCAACCAAATTTAGTAATTCGTATATTTGAGAAGTTCACAAAAGAGGTATGAAAGCAAGCCTGAGGCTTGGGGTCTGGGTAACTAGGAGGACAATGAACCTGTTAAGTGTTATGATCAACATATGATGATTAAACCTGACGACGAGAAAAATTGCACCTTGGGGAGCCACTGGTTCTCCTGAAAACACACACACACACACCCACCCCCCACACATCACATACAGAGCAAATAATTTAAGGATATGATCATTGTCCTCAAAACCTCACGAAATATCACAAAATATCTTTTACTACAAGCATCATATTTGCCTTGTATATTGCATAGTTAGCTGAAAATATAAATTAATTATAATCTGAATATAGACAATATAGCACAGTTACTGCATAGTGTATATTTCAGTTGCATATTGTATATAGCATACTGTATATTCAATTGCAATATTGCATATTTATATTGCATAGTTAGCCAAAACATAAATTAATTATAATCAAAATATAGACAATACATAATTGAATTATCTCTGAGCCTAATTTTAATTGATAACCAAAAAGATAATGGAACACAAATTATTTAAGATACATTTTCAAGATTTTTACTTATTTATTTGTCAGAGAGAGAGAGACAGCACAAGCAGGGGGAGCTGCAGGCAGAGGGAGAGGGAGAAGCAGGCTCCTCGCTAAGCAGGGAGCCTGATGTGGGACTCAATCCCAGGATGCTGGGATCATGACCTAAGCTGAAGGCAGACGCCCAACCGACTGAGCCACCCAGGTGTCCCTAAAGTTACAGTTTAAAGATTCCCTTGAGTTTCTTAATATTTATTGTTCAATAAATTCAAAATTTATTGTTCAGGCATTCTGTCATTCATTCATTCGTTCACTCAATGTACAGAATACCTTTATGATCTAGACTGTTTAAGGCAGTAATGACAAAGGAATGAAAAGAAAGACAAAAACTCCTTATGTGATTTACTTTCTCAGTTTAAAAAAATGTTAAGTATAAAAAGACAGTCTCTTCAACAAATGGTGTTGGGAAAATTGGACAGCCACATGCAGAAGAATGAAACTGGACCATTTCCTTACACCACACACAAAAATAGACTCCAAATGGTTGAAAGACCTAAACGTGAGACAGGAGTCCATCCAAATCCTAAAGGAGAACACAGGTAGCAACCTCTTTGACCTCAGCCGCAGCAACTTCTTCCTAGAAACATCACCAAAGGCACGGGAAGCCAGGGCAAAAATGAACTCTTGGGATTTCATCAAGATAAAAAGCTTTTGCATAGCAAAAGAAACAGTCCACAAAACCAAAAGACAACCGACAGAATGGGAGAAAATATTTGCAAATGACATATCAGATAAAGGGCTAGTATCCAAAATCTATAAAGAACTTATCAAACTCAACACCCAAAGAACAAATAATCCAATCAAGAAATGGGCAGAAGACATGAACAGACATTTTTCCAAAGAAGACATCCAAATGGCCAACAGGCACATGAAAAAGTGCTCAACATCGCTCGGCATCAGGGAAATCCAAATCAAAACCTCAATGAGATACCCCCTCACACCCGTCAGAATGGCTAAAATTAACAAGTCAGGGAACGACAGATGTTGGCGGGGATGTGGAGAAAGGGGAACCCTCCTACACTGTTGGTGGGAATGCAAGCTGGTGCAACCCCTCTGGAAAACAGTATGGAGGCTCCTCAAACAGTTGAAATTAGAGCTACCATTCGATCCAGCAATTGCACTACTGGGTATTTACCCCAAAGATACAAATGTAGGGACCCGAAGGGGTACGTGCACCCCAATGTTTATAGCAGCAATGTCCACAATAGCCAAACTGTGGAAAGAGCCAAGATGTCCATCGGCAGATGAATGGATAAAGAAGAGGTGGTATATATATACAATGGAATATTATGCAGCCATCAAAAGGAATGAGATCTTGCCATTTGCAACGACATGGATGGAACTGGAGGGTGTTATGCTGAGTGAAATAAGTCAATCAGAGAAAGACATGTATCATATGACCTCACTGATATGAGGAATTCTTAATCTCAGGAAACAAACTGAGGGTTGCTGGAGTGGTCGGGGGTGGGAGGGATGGGGTGGCTGGGTGATAGACATTGGGGAGGGTATGTGCTACGGTGAGCGCTGTGAATTGTGCAAGACTGTTGAATCACAGATCTGTACTTCTGAAACAAATAACGCAACATATTTTAAGAAAAAAGAAAAAGAAGAAGATAGCAGGAGAGGAAGAATGAAGGGGAGTAAGTCAGAGGGGGAGACGAACCAGGAGAGATGATGGACTCTGAAAAACAAACTGAGGGTTCTGGAGGGGAGGAGAGTGGGGGGATGGGTTAGCCTGGTGATGGGTATTAAAGAGGGCACATTCTGCATGGAGCACTGGGTGTTATGAACAAACAACGAATCATGGAACACTACACCAAAACAAATGATGTAATATATGGTGATTAACATAACAATAAAAAATTTTAAAAAAATGTTCAGTATACAATATATGTTGGTAAGTATTAAGAAGAAAAATAAAAGTGTATATTTTCAAATTGACTTTTACTAAACAAATGTACTTTTCCTGGAATGTTAGGAAGAAAGAAAGAGAAATATCACTTGATCTTTATTTTAAGAACTAGACATAGTTGTGATTGTTTTAAAAAATGCAAAGAATTCCAGAAACAAAAGCTGAAATTTTATGGGACTCAGCAGAGAACTTTAGAGTAGTTCTATTTTTAACTTTTTGAGGAACTTCCATATTGTCTTCCCGAGTGGCTACACTGGTTTGCCTTCCCACCAACAGTGTAAAAGAGTTCCCCTTTATCCACATCCTCACCACCCCATGATCCAGCAATTGCACTATGAGGTATTTACCCAAAGAATACAAAAATACTAATTCAAAGGGATACATGCACCTTGATGTTTATAGCAGCATTATCTACAATAGCGAAATTATGGGGAGAGCCCAAGTGTCCACTGACTGATGAATGGATAAAGAAGAGGTGGTTCATATATACATTGGATTATCACTCAGCCATAAGAAAGAATGAAATCTTACCATTTGCAATGATGTGGATGGAGCTAGAGAGTATTATACTAAGCGAAATGAGTGACTGAGAGAAAGACAAATAAATACCATATGATTTCACTCATATGTGGAATTTAAGAAACAAAACAAACAATAATAGGGGGAAAAAGAGGCAAACCAGGAAACAGACGCTTAACTATGGAGAACTCACTGATAGTTACCAGAGGGGGAAATGTGGCAAATAGGTGATGGGGATTCAGTAGGGCACTTGAGACGAGCACTGGGTGTTGGATCCAAGTGTTGAATCACTAAATTGTACACCTGAAACGAATACTACACTGTATGTTAACTAACTGGAATTTAAATTAAAAGCTTAAAAGAAATAATGAAATAAAAACAGAAAGACCAAAAAAAAAAAGGGAACTATTTTAAAATAGGAACGATTAAAAGTAAATGTTCAGCAGAAAAAGGATCACCAGGATCAAGTGGGTAACACAGGCCCCTAATAGAATGAG